GTAGAAAGCCACCGAATTGTTGGTTATTGTTAACATGTTATTGTTGAAAGCCACCGAACTGTTGGCTGTTGTTAACTTGTTATTATAGAAAGCCACCGAACTGTTGGTTATTGTTAACTTGTTATTATAGAAAGTCATCGAACTGTTGGCTGTTGTTAACATGTTATTACAGAAAGCTACTGAATGATTCCTTATGGTTAATATAGAAAGCTACCAAATGGTTCCTTATGGTTAACATGTTAATACCGAAAGTTACCGTTCTCAGGGGAGAAGTTGGTGTTTGTTTTGAGTCACATTAGGTTCACAAGGGATACGTTGGTGTTTGTTTTCTGATAACAAAGAACACAGATGATCATTGTTGTTTTCATGGTCTAGGAATGTACATGTCCAGACTCAGAAGTTACAACAGAACCTCAGTCTCCGGACTGGCTTGAAATGAATGTAGTTGCAGGATTTCGAGTATGGCAGCTCCTCTTTCTCAGTATAGCTGGACTGATCGTTCTTGGTAAGTAACTTAGTTGGAGTTAACATTTCTGATCCTCTTAGTTTCATAGACCCATTGTTTAACACTTAGATCAATAAATTCTGATTATGAACAGAATTCCAACATCGTGCTAAGAGTTGAATGTACCATAGAGTTCAAAGTGACGCATTTCGACCAGAAAGGAACCTTGATTATTTTCAAAGTTTCAGATCCTGAAAATCGTCTAACAATTACTGAAAATATGTTTTGTGATGTTATGAATATATATATATATATATATAATTAACACTAAATCATAAACTATCACAATTTGTTCTTCAGTGGACCCTTAATATATTTCCATTGTACAAATTTCCGAAATGTTATAATGATTGCAGATGGGAGTTTTCGTAAAAAATATCCCTAGGGAAGGAATATGTTTGTTTGTTTGTTTGAATTTCGCGCAAAGCTACACGAGGGCTATCTGCGCTAGTCGTCCCTAATTTAGCAATGAAAGAGTAGAGGAAAGGCAGCTAGTCATCACCACCCACCACCAACTCTTGAGCTACTCATTTACCAACGAATAATGGGACTGATCGTAACATTATAACGCCCCCCACGGCTGAAAGGGCGAGCATGTTTGACGGGGCGGAGATTCGAACCCGCAACCTTTAGATCCCTAAAGAAGGAAATGGTTCATAAAGTGATCTAACGCATTCAGACTATTTGAAAATCTTTCAATAGACGTCATTTAAATGGTGACTTGTTTGTTTTAACCATTGAACCACCAGGGTAAGAGAGATATCTAAATAGTGACTACAATCAGAAACTGGTGCTTGAAAATCCCAGCTTATCTCACTTAGCAGTCACAATCTAAAAATTTTATAAAGACTTAGACAAATAATTATTCTATTCAAACATCATTTCTAGAAAGAAAAAAATAATAATTTCACCACACTCAAAACATCCATACGGCTATGTTTTTGTTGTTGTTGTTGTTTTTAATAAATCTATACTTAAATGAATTGTTGAAATAATGCAGGAATAATATTTACAAAACATTACCAAGAGTAAGTAATCAAACTTATAGCTTGAAGAAATACTATCCACAAAAGTTTACATCTTATAAACCTGGGGGTTTTGTATTCTTTCTAATCACATTTTTGTTTACCTTCTCCTTGTATTAGTCCTAGTTACCGAACCACTCTGGATATTTTCGATATTAACGGAACTTTTAAGATAACAAGTCTTAAATTCATATTTTTCAGTTGTCTTTCTTTGCTGCTTCATGAAATGTCGCATCCCACGAACGAAGCAAGAGATCGAGGCAGATTACCACCGTAGACAGTTAACTCGTACCTTCAGATCTCATCTTAACAAGATCGGAATGGACGATATTACTTTTAAAGTGGGTATGTAACTTTGTCTTTAACACATTGACCTCGAGAAGGCACGAAACCTTTATATCGTCATTTTGTGTTTTCATTGTTGGGAAGTTTAAAACCTTTGTTAGATATCATCGTGTTGAATTGAAAACGTAATAAATGTATATTTTCAAACTTATGTCAACGTAGTGTACGAACAAACCCAAAAAAACGTAATTGGAATAAACAGACTTGAAGCAAAAATGTTTTCCCCGAAAGGGAGCCGAAAGTCGCCTGGAGGGATCGCCTGTTTTAACCACTCGCACCACTATACAGTAGTGTGTTGTCTGCCAGTCAGTCAAGAGACACTAAAACGAAGTCCACCTAGTATTTTTAATATACATACGCACACACACACACACATATATATCCATTTATTTTATTTGAAGAGATATGTTTTAGACTAATAATTATTTTAGTTAATAAAAGGATGAATATTCAGTGTAATTGTATGTTAGCTCTGTTCATGTATGTTTTCGTTTTTTATCATATACATTACTGTGTTTGTGCATGTTTCAGCTTTGGAAAAAGTACAAGAAAGGTATGAAGAAGAACACAAGTCCGAAACGGAGAACAAAACACCTTATTCCGATAGCCCTGAGTTGTCCGATAGGGACGATCAATTAATACTACCCGACGACGACAAGGACGACCTCTCGACCGACATTGCTGGCGTAGAAGAAAGGAAAAACAGATGGACGATTCTCAGGAGACTTCAGAGAGTTATTAGTGGAATAAAACAAAAGAAACCTGATGTTTGAATAGTCATAAATTCAAAATGATTAATTTTAACTACCACGCTTAAGTTTCTAGTACGATCCCTCAAAACAAAGTGTAAGCACATTTAAAAAGAAATGATAACAAAGCTTCTGTATAAAAGTTTCGCTGTTAAAAGAACTTTTCAAATTATGAACTTAAAGAGTCACATTGTTTTGAAAGCTTAAAAGGATTGTTAGTAACAAAATTGTGTTCTAATTAAGGGTCGTGAAGAGTTAGATCATAGGATCGTGATTTCTGAGAGGATCAGGTCTTAATAAAATATCCGAAAATGTAATGATTACTCTGTTAGATTAAAGGCACGACATCGTGATTTCTGACAAGATCAGGTTTCAATAGATGTGAAGATAATAATGGCTACTTTCCTAAGGAATACAAAAATAAAATACATTTTGTGTTGCAAAAAAATATGTATAGAGTGGAATTCTGAAGAGCTAAGTTCTACATATATATATATAATACATGTACTGTTAGTTATTCTTCGACTTTGTCTTGATTATCACATCAACTCTGTAGGTGCTGAATTAATTAAGAAATTTCTGGTTTGCGGGGTTCAATTTGCAGCTTATTACAAACATCTCCTTGCGAGTATTTTACACATTTGAAGCTTATCGAGAAATATCTTCTGTCGAAGCGCAGCCTGATACCATTATTAAATATCCCGCAGCGTGTATTTTTTCAATATAATTATGGTAATTAAGAAATATATTTTACGAAGTGATAATGATAACCACCAAACTCATGGTAATTATTTAATGAATAATGCACAATCTAATTACAGTTATTGCACACTAGGCAATGTTGATTTTATTATATGTCCACATACATAATATATATATATACGGAAAAACCCTACATGAACAATTAAATTGCACCAAATAAATATTTAGAAACATATTAAAAAAACAAATTCCAGTCCCATCGTAAAGTACATAAAAAAATATCTTGTTGAAAATCCCATCGGAAAAAATCAGGACTGATTTTTTTTTTTTACTAATCTTCAGTAATAATCATTTAATGAGCAAAATGAAATATTATTAATATACCATTTTTATTACTTTTATTTTTTCATAACTTTTCTCCACTGTTAGGCGGTGATATTATCTGTACTCACACGAGTACGAGGTGAAATATGCTGATTGTTAGTAGTCTACGTAATAAAGAAAGAAACTTTTCAACGTATAACCAATTCATTATCGAGTCGAATCGACATGAACATTATGATAAAAAAGAGAATGGTTTAGGATAATTCAAGTGTTGGTCGGTACATGGAACCAGGTCGTAAGTTTTCTACTTTTTTCCACCACACCCAAAACATAAGCTGGTACTAGTGATAGTTGAAGCGCTCGAAAACTGAAAATCAAGTCAACCACTTTGAACCTGCACTTAATTTTTTTCACCATGCGAAACTGAAATTGAAATTTTTTTTTCGTGTACCAAATATTGTATGGCTTGAAATAAACACAAAGTGTATGTAGATTAAAAATAGAAGGTGGTAGAAAAAGCATATGAAGTCTACGTGCTTTGTATCACATATTTTAGGCCTATATGTTTTAAACGTGTTTAGCGTGACTGTCAAAAGAAAAGCAGTTTAATACGATATTGTCGGAGAAAATCATTGTTTTGTGTGGTACTGTCAGAGGATTTTGCGATATAAGAAGATTTCTTTCAATTAAAAACACAATCATTTATATTTATAGTAATTATAACTTGTTATTAAAAACTATCTGACCGATTAATATCAAGATAAAAACTTACTTCTGAATCTTATATTAATGAGTACAATACGACGTTATTGTAAATACCCCTGGTGGGTCAGCAGTAAAGTTGAGGTTTATAATGTTACAAGTTATATAAACAATAATATTTTACTCTCGTAATAAAATATTGAAAGTGCAGAATATACAAAATAATGTTTGTATTTTTCATGTTTTTCATACAACGAGAATGTATAAAAATCAATTTGCTGAATGTCTGAGAACGTTTGTTTCAATCCTGGATACTTACGAGCGCATTATGGAGTCGTAAGAGCATATATTTATAAAAAATATTTCGTAAAATAAACACTAGGTATTTAAGAGCTGATTAAACAGTAACATGCAGAAGATTTTAAAAGGGCAGGGGCTACTTGAACAAAAAAAAAAAAAAAAAAAAGGACACTTTTCAAGCATCGTAAGACATGACTATTTTAAAGGGGGAGGTGTTCGGGGAAACTACGAAGATACATAGGGTAGAAAGCCTCGAGAAGCAAACAGATCCTCTTTTATTTTTTTCCAATCAGTCTTACAAACATTTAAAAAATCTAAAATTAAACAGTGAATTCTTCCATACTAACACTTAATAACATAGAATAATTATTTTTTACTCTAAAAACTACAAGTTTCTGTGTGTCGTTTATTTAACACCTACAAGCCTGTCCACCGCAGGGACTCGAAACCCGGGTTTTAAGATTGTCTCACTGGAGGACTTGAAAACAAGAATAATGTTTATCAAAAAGAAAATTTAAATATTAGATATTCGGTGTGCTGCTTACTGGTGATATATATATATATATACAAACATTTTAACGTAAAGTTTGAGCACACGATCTAAAATGCAAGAAAAAATTTTATTTAGTATTACGTATGCAGGTTTACTAATGTCATATTGTTATTAGTATTATTAAATGATACTGAAAAAATAATTGATATAGTTGTTGATTTGACTATCTGAAGACGATATTCGAGTATTGTTTTAGTAAATAGATCAGTAGGTTTTTAATATACCACATACTTGTGTTCGTATTGGATAAAAAATTCCACACCATTATCAGTTCTAATTTCAAGGTATATAATTTCTCATCATTCCATTCACATCTAGATCGATGTTGGGAATTCCATCCAAATAAGTTTTGTCTCTAGGCGTGGGAAAAGCGTCGTTTACATTTTGTTTATACGCAATAAATAGGTTTGCGTCGTACTGATTCATGCCAATACCTAGGATCTTCGCGAATATTTAAAGTAAATAACGATACTCGTTCCCACCACACCTTTAATAATTTTCATGACGTTGAACAAGTATGGTTTGCGTGTCATCAACAAATTACCTATTATGATAATCTCCTACGAATATTCGTGAAAAGGCAATGAACTTTTAAAGCGCCACCAGGTGACAAGGAAAAGTAAAGTATGAATAAAAAATGTTACAGTAAGGATTACGTAGTTAGAATTTCAAAATTGTATTTTATGCTTTTGATATGGAACTAAATACATTAGATTTTATGAAGCCTAATACAGTTTTACCGAAAAAAAAAGTACAATATCATTTAAACTACTAACAAGGCCTTTTGCACATCACCAAAAATTATCAGCCTGGAAGCGTTTCAACGCCAAACTAATAAACGAAACATTTAAAGTTAACATCAGTTTCATTGTAATATTTCACCACATCTTTGATAAATTAATTGGCATGCTTCTAAAAGTATGATTTTTACTTTAACTACAGTTTTGAAAAACGGTTATGAAAATATCTTAATTATATTTACATTAATGGGGTGTTAAAGATCGTTATATTGGATAAACTTGTAAATTCAATTTACGTTTTGATAGCAAGTTAATACACAATACCGTATAGAGTAATATAAATTTTACATCCACTGTTGACGGAACAAGAAGTTTATATGGAAACAAGTTTCGCCTCTTTCACGTGTTCTCTTCAGTCTAAC